TTCTTCTTCTTCTTTTTTTAAAATTTTATTTTATCTATTTTATTTTTATTTATTTTACTTCTTAAGTTTATATTTGGATATCAAACGAGCTTCCAGCAAAATAAGTGGGTTTTTACCCTCTGGTTACCCCCCAAAGTATACATTTTGGGTATTGGGAAAGTAGAGAATGACTGAAAAGAAAACTCCTATATATGAGAGGCGGTCAGGGCGAACCTCCAATTTCCTTCTCTATATAAAGATTACTTCATAGAAAATGCAGCGAGCAGGGTTAAACATAACGAGATTTACTCACTGTTCCTGATCTATAGAAGCCACTTTAGAAACGAGCAAGAGACTGGGGCGAGTTTTGAATTTGAGCTTTATTGGGGAAAAACGTTTGTCATTTGAGAAAGCATCTCAGTGTTAGTAAGTCTAGCAAATTTGAATATGTTTGGATGAAACTACAAGAACCAGACTTATTGGTTTTCAAAAGTGTCGAAAATTTACAAAGAATGTATGGTTTAAGGCTTATTTGTCGTTCTGATGTGCTTTCTGTGTTTTCTGTTCGGGCATCGGTTCAAATTAAACCAGAATACTTCTAAATCCCATATGGATCTACGAGTCAGTTTATAAATGCGAACCTAGATTGGAGCTTTGATCTGTTCACAAGTTCAGTATTCATGACATTCCCTGCTAGCAGATGTCCCTGTTGGTCTTTCTCTTTTCGCAGTCTTTTAGCCTTACGACTCCTTTTTGTTTTCGTCGTTCTTACTTGATGTATGGAAGCATGGAAGCTCTGCCGACACGAGTGAAAAACGTCTGCGCATGCTCTGAATTAGTCAAAACCTATGTGAATTTGACTTTCAAACATGCCGGATCAATAGACCCGTTTCGAATTCCAAATTACCGCTGTGTTTCTTGATTACAGACTCACTTGCACAGGGTTAGCCTCGAGTTTGTGCAGAATATTCACGTGTTCCAGTCAAGGTCCGTCAAGTTTCAAATTGTTCGTATTGTTGAAGTTGTGCATTCTTTACTTTACCGTTGGTATTTGTGAATATTTAAACACTGACACGAGGCTAACCCTGTGCAAATGAGTCTGTAATCAAGGAACACAGCGGTAATTTGGAACTCGAAACTGGTCTATTGGACTTCACAAAATGCCAAAACTTATTGTCCATGCTTGAAAYTTAAGTCTAATTCTTTCATATTGTGTTTGTTAATACAATATCTTGGTCTGACAAGTATACTCTTGAACTTTTTTGTATACTTGGAGAAAACAAACATTTATTTTCCCACTCAAACTCTTCAAAATTCTTAGAAAACGTGCTGAAGTGCATGCATGCGCAAACGTATTTCCCTGGTGTCTGCACGGACTTGGAAGCTTTCTCCGTTTAGCATGCGTCGTGTGTTGTCACCAGCTACGTCAATCATGACATATAAATAAGGAAGTGGGCTCATTTGTGACCATTTTCGTACCACAAGCTCTTAGAATTCGTTCCTTCCCTCGACTCTGGTATGACAATGATTTGTAATCAGTTACAAGTTAATTAAGTTATGCCTACACATATCGCGGGCTCAAGGGACCAAATTCACTTGCGCGTGATGTTTTGCCCATGTCCGTGAGACCACGTGTCATTCTCTTGAGAATAAGAATCTTTGTTTGAGTTGTGTCCCTATTCATGTGTCTTCTCATGTGCAAACGGCAAACAAAGAAATATAATACTCTACAAAGAAATAATACTCTAGGGAATGACATGTGGTCTGAAATGGGAAAACAGTGGATCATCCAAGGTTTTTAAAAACGACTCGGCTATAAAATAGATTTTTCATGGTTCAATTGGGCTTCCATCACGCTTACATATCGTCCTCATTAATCGAACTGCATTGTTTCGAATCTCTTCAATTCTCCAAAAATAAATAATTGAATTCAAAACACCGTTAAACATGACGAGAGAAGAACTTAGTGCAAATAGATAGTGCATTTCAACGGTGTTATAAAGCCTTTCAGGTGACAACAGTGAAACAGCAAACGGAACGTAACACACCAAGAATGCACCAATCACAAAGTACATGGTGTTGACGGATTTCTTGTATCCTGGTATGTCTGTAGACTGTTGTACTGATTGCTGTTGGGCTTGGATCTGCATTGAATGTCGCCGGATCACTCGAGAGATTTTGAAGATCAAAGTCATATTTAGTATTAGCAATAGAATAACGAGCGTAACGAAAGCCAAGATATAATATTGTCTTGTATTTATGTACAACCTCATGAGGGTGAAAGAAATAAACAGAACCCAAACACCAATTAAAACAAAAACATAGCGTTTGGTTGTGACAAGTTCTTGATATCGTAAGTGAAGTTGAACGGCCAAGAATCGATCAACAGTAATAACTGTCAGAGTACAAATGGATATCCCTCCGAAAATAAAAATGCTGGTGCTGAAGACGATAGAAGTAACGCAATATAACTGGGGTTTATGAGTGGAAACGCAAAGAACAGAAGACGAGGGTAGAGCCACAAGGCTAACAACAAGATCAGAAATGGCTAGTCCTAGGATGAGAATGTTTGAAGGCGTTCGCCGTAGACCAGCTGTTCTTGAAATGGTGCAAATGACGATGAAATTGCTGGGTGAAGAGACAATAGCGGCTACAATGTTGATGGAAGCGAGCRCCGACAAGAAAGTTTTAAAATGATAGCTGCGTTGAACAGGTGGATTGAATGCAACAGGAGAATCGACTACGCAGTCGAAAGTCGAGTTAACACTTTCTGTCGTACTTAACATCCTTTTCTATTCTTYCAGGTACGAAAACAAGGCGTTCGACCGAGAAACCTCAAGGAACAGTCGCTCCTTCACTCCTGTATATACCTGACGAAACAGACGGTTTTCCAAGAATTCAGGCATACAGCTTCGCTGTAATAGGTATGTCAATCAATCATGACGAAACTTTTATTGGATTTTTATATTAATTTTAGTCTCGATTATCATTGGAAAGAAAATATATGAGGTCCAAGAAATGTCAATTTAATAACCATTCATGTGTCATGCTGTTAGTAATAATTTAATTTTATATTATACAATATAATACAATCAAGGCGAAAATTAATATAAAAATCCAATAACTCAGTACTGTTCATCATTATTAACAGTGCTTGTCTTTTTCCACACCTAGGTGATAAAAGCGAGTCTGTGTATGTTGCTTACGAGTGCGATTCCGACGCTAGTGTGAACCATGCTAGGGACCGTGCAATGATTATCAGGAGGGGGGGGGGGGGGGGGAAAAATGAGATATATCAAGCAAAAAATTAGGCAGCAGCCCCCTTAAAACAAAATTTTTAGTTCTTCCCCCCCTGTTATGTTAAAAATAACGTTGAACGCC